TGGAGGGGGCCAGCATCTTAGGTTGGTTGGTTGGGGGGGGGGGTTAGACGTCCCTGGGCTCTGGGGCGTGCACGGGGGAGCTCTTAGAAACTACCAAGTGACAGTAAAACACAGAGAGCAGAGTGGGCCCGCTAACAGCCGAACTCAGCCCGGGAGGCGAGGCAGGGGCGCTGGGGCAGCGGGAGGCCCGGCCGTGGTGGTTGCCGCTCTGACGCTGCTGTCCACCCGCAGTCCTTCCTCTACCTGGCCTGGTACATGGCCATGTCCGTCCTCGGGCACTACAACAACTTCTTCTTCGCCGCGCACCTTCTCGACATCGCCATGGGGTTCAAGACGCTGAGGACCATCTTGTCATCTGTGACCCACAACGGTAAACAGGTCAGTCTCCTCTTCTGCCCGAGGTCGGCACCTTCCCCAAGCACCCCAGCAAGCAGCTCCAGGCCTCGGCCCTGCACCCGGGCCTGGCCGGCGCATTCTGCGGCGTTGGCCAAGGGTTGGCATTTCCAAATCCCGGCCTTCCTCCTGAGATGAAGAGACAGGCCTCACCTTCAGGCGTGAGGAATTAGTGAACGGCGTGGCAGCCTGCCCGCTCAGTACTGTGAGGACTGGGTGAGCACCGAGTCGATGCAGGCACAGGCATGGGAGCGACCTGCATGCTGCACCCTCACAGGCTGGTCCCAGCCCCAGGGGTCCCAAGCCCAGTCTCTGTGCGGGGCTGGAGGGCAGGCCCATCGTGAGCTGCGACCCTTGCAGCTTCTGTGGACATCCGAAGTTTTATTCGCAAAAAACATATAGCGTGTCCTCGTCCTGACAGGTGAGCGGGCAGAAAACCCCGGGCCTGGCCCTCTCTGTACAATTGAGGAAGCGCTAGGGCTCCGTCTCCTCCGTGAGGCTGACGTGCTTCTGGTTAAGGACTGGCGCCGCAGGCCCGTGTGGAGGGGGCGGGCGTGTCAGGGAGCGCGTGCGAGGAGGGCACCTCCTCACCTGTAACTCCTATGGCGGAGCCAGAGCCGTTCTCACGCACGCGGTGAAGGCCGGGCTTTCTCATCCAGATCGCCTGCCTGCCGGACAGCGGCAAGTGTGAGGGTGGTTGGAATTAGTGCAAGCTGGCCAGAGCCCTAAGGGACCTTTCAAACTGGTGTTGACTCTCACTTTGAGAAAGACAGCCTTCGAAACAGCCCTGGCCACTAGCTGGGTGATTTTCTCTTGATCACAGTCTTAGGCTCACACACCAAGACGTCTCAGTTTTATTTTCAAACATATCTGTGTCACCCGTTCCCACCGACGTGCCCTCCCCGAGTTCAGGGGCAGCTCGAGTTCTGGGCGGCCCACCCTTCGGGCGTTGTGCGGAGACCTGCAGCTCTCGCCGTGGAGAAACAAGCTGGGTTATCGGTGTACGCCATCTGCAGAAAGTAGACCTTGGAAGCCGGGCCAAGTCCTCTCGCGGTGTCCTGGCCAAATACCCGGACACAGAGCTGTGCATGTCCATACTGCGTGTTTCCTGCCCCACGTCGGGGCGGGGCTGGGCGCCGAGCGGTCGTGCTCTGAGCCGGGCCTGGGCAGCGACGCTGCGTCCGGTGGGAAGGAGTCCCACCACGACGGGCTGCAGACACGTGTCCTGGCCGTGGGGGCACCAGGCGGGGGCCCTGGGCTGTCGCCGCCAGGGACTGCCCCGTGGGCGTGTGGCCGCGGCCCTGACCTGGCCCTGCCCTCGCCCACAGCTCGTCCTCACCGTGGGCCTCCTGGCCGTCGTCGTGTACCTCTACACCGTGGTCGCGTTCAACTTCTTCCGGAAATTCTACAACAAAAGCGAAGACGGAGACGCGCCGGACATGAAGTGTGACGACATGCTGACGGTGAGTCCTGGCCCCGGGGCACCTCGGCCTGCCCAGGCCAGCCCTGATGCTGGCAGCGCAGGGCGTGGGCGCGTGGGAGGAGCGTGGCGCTCCCAAGGCCGGCATGCCACGTTTTTAGCCTAACACGGTGAGTGTTCTGTGGCTCCTGTGTCCCCGCCAGCCTGTCACTCTGTGAGTGTGTGAGAAGCGGTGCTGTCCGTCACTGGCACACTCCCGTGACAGCCTGAGGACAGGAGAAACCTTGGTTTTCTTTTTTCTTTTTTTTTTTTTAGTTCCCCTCCCATAGGGTGCATCTACTCACCAGAAAGAGACAGAGATGGAGGGAAAGTGAGAAATCACCCCCAGGGTAGATGACCACGCCACAATCCCTTTTCCTCATCCTCACCTGGGATTTTGGGCGTGTACGCACACGTGCCCAGCACGAGTTTCAAGCCACTGGTCTGGGATTTGAACCGTGATTGACCTCATGGGAGCCCAGCGCCTTAACCACCACACGGGCCCTGAAGCCTTGGTGTTCTGTTGGCCATAATGACTTCCCCGGAGTCGCTGACGAGTCGCTGACGCCCAAGCAGGCTCTCGGTAGTGCTGTTTAGATGGGGAAGACCTGAACGAGGCATCACCCAGCACCCACGAGAGTGTGGACCTTATAATTCGCTATTTTTAGTTTCCCACAGGGCAGAGAGGGGCAGGGAAGGGACTGAGGGAAGGTGAGGAACCACCTCCCGGGGTGGCCACGCCACAGTCCCAGTCCCCCTCCTCTCAGGATTTCGGGCACGTGTGTACACACATGCCCAGTGTGTTTTTCAAGCTGCGGGTTCTGCGCCTTGACCCACACCGCTGGCCATGTGGGATGTAGCTGCTTCCACTACCGCGCCACCCACTGGCCCTAGAAAGGATCTTTTAAAACAGAGGCATACACTAATCTCAAAGCCCAGTCCCTCGCACAGGACCCTTTTCCTTAGTTACGGCTCCTCAAACTCGAGCGAGGGTAAGTAAGCCGGTAGAAAGGCAGCCGGCCCCAGCCCTGATGGCTAGGCTGGCAGAGCGGCCCGGCCTGGTCGCAGGGGACACGCAGGTCCAGAGGCCCAGCCCGCAGTCCCCTCTGTGCCGCCCGTGCAGTGAGGGACCAGTGCGCGTGTGCCAGGAAGACCCACGGTTCGTGACTCCCACCAGGAGCCTGGCTTGCCAGCAGCGTCACAAATTTAGCACGTCCTCCGACCTGCAGTTCCACGGCTAGTGACGTCCGCCCAGGACCAGCGCCGCTCCCTGGGGGAGGTGCCTGTCAATCAGTGGGCCCGATGACGGCAGCACGCAGAACGCACACCCTGCGGGTGTTCATGGCGAGGGTGCTCTGCTGAAACAAGCGACATGTGTTAGCGTGGCCTGAGGAGGAGCACTGCCTCGCAGACCCGACGGCGAGGTTTTACACGCACGCACACGGAGCATGTTAGCGTGGCCTGGGGAGGAGTGCTGACTCCACAGATCCGACGGCGAGGTTTTACATGCACGCACATGGACCTGACTGTGAGGTTTTACACACACGCACACGGAGCATGTTAGCGTGGCCTGGGGAGGAGTGCTGACTCCACAGATCCGACGGCGAGGTTTTACATGCACACACACGGACCTGACTGTGAGGTTTTACACGCACACACACGGACCTGAGAGATTTTACGTGCTTGCACACAGACCTGACTGTGAGGTTTTACACACATGCACACAGAGCGTCTTACCGTGGCCTGGGGAGGAGCGTCACCTCTGCAGACCTGACAGTGAGGTTATACACGCACGCACATGGAGCATGTTTTGATATGCCAGAGTATGTGTAGGTGAGGTTTGAGGGTTCACATGCAGGAGGCTGTCACCAGGGCGCCCACGGGAGCAGGTCACCGTGGGAGGGAGACCGGCTGGCCCTGCTCCTCGTGCGCCCGCTCCCGTCCGGGTCTGCTGGCTCTTTACGGTAGGCATCCCCCATCTCCAGAGTTTAAAGCCACGGGGAGGCACAGGTTTGTACCCCTCGCTCCTTTGGCATCCTCGAGGCTGGCAGAGCGGCCCGGCCTGGTCGCAGGGGACACGCAGGTCCAGAGGCCCAGCCCGCAGTCCCCTCTGTGCCGCCCGTGCAGTGAGGGACCAGTGCGCGTGTGCCAGGAAGACCCACGGTTCGTGACTCCCACCAGGAGCCTGGCTTGCCAGCAGCGTCACAAATTTAGCACGTCCTCCGACCTGCAGTTCCACGGCTAGTGACGTCCGCCCAGGACCAGCGCCGCTCCCTGGGGGAGGTGCCTGTCAATCAGTGGGCCCGATGACGGCAGCACGCAGAACGCACACCCTGCGGGTGTTCATGGCGAGGGTGCTCTGCTGAAACAAGCGACATGTGTTAGCGTGGCCTGAGGAGGAGCACTGCCTCGCAGACCCGACGGCGAGGTTTTACACGCACGCACACGGAGCATGTTAGCGTGGCCTGGGGAGGAGTGCTGACTCCACAGATCCGACGGCGAGGTTTTACATGCACACACACGGACCTGACTGTGAGGTTTTACACGCACGCACACGGAGCATGTTAGCGTGGCCTGGGGAGGAGTGCTGACTCCACAGATCCGACGGCGAGGTTTTACATGCACACACACGGACCTGACTGTGAGGTTTTACACGCACGCACACGGAGCATGTTAGCGTGGCCTGGGGAGGAGTGCTGACTCCACAGATCCGACGGCGAGGTTTTACATGCACACACACGGACCTGACTGTGAGGTTTTACACGCACGCACACGGAGCATGTTAGCGTGGCCTGGGGAGGAGTGCTGACTCCACAGATCCGACGGCGAGGTTTTACATGCACACACACGGACCTGACTGTGAGGTTTTACACGCACGCACACGGAGCATGTTAGCGTGGCCTGGGGAGGAGTGCTGACTCCACAGATCCGACGGCGAGGTTTTACATGCACACACACGGACCTGACTGTGAGGTTTTACACGCACGCACACGGAGCATGTTAGCGTGGCCTGGGGAGGAGTGCTGACTCCACAGATCCGACGGCGAGGTTTTACATGCACACACACGGACCTGACTGTGAGGTTTTACACGCACGCACACGGAGCATGTTAGCGTGGCCTGGGGAGGAGTGCTGACTCCACAGATCCGACGGCGAGGTTTTACATGCACACACACGGACCTGACTGTGAGGTTTTACACGCACACACACGGACCTGAGAGATTTTACGTGCTTGCACACAGACCTGACTGTGAGGTTTTACACACATGCACACAGAGCGTCTTACCGTGGCCTGGGGAGGAGCGTCACCTCTGCAGACCTGACAGTGAGGTTATACACGCACGCACATGGAGCATGTTTTGATATGCCAGAGTATGTGTAGGTGAGGTTTGAGGGTTCACATGCAGGAGGCTGTCACCAGGGCGCCCACGGGAGCAGGTCACCGTGGGAGGGAGACCGGCTGTCCCTGCTCCTCGTGCGCCCGCTCCCGTCCGGGTCTGCTGGCTCTTTACGGTAGGCATCCCCCATCTCCAGAGTTTAAAGCCACGGGGAGGCACAGGTTTGTACCCCTCGCTCCTTTGGCATCCTCGAACCTCAGGCTGGCCTGGAAGGCAAGGCCCAGGCAGTGTTGTCTGGCGTGCCGTGCTGGCACCTATGTGGAGCCAGGAGAGCCCTATGCTCTGCCCGGAGACGGATCTGCAGCCCAGCCGGGAGGTGGAGCCAGCTGTCGGGTCAGTCAGGCCGGACCATCAGCTTAGCTGGCGGAGGAGCCTCCTCGGGTCCTCTCGGTGGGCTCTCTGGAGGTCTCCCGCTCGCACCTGGTCTTGGCGGCCTCACCCTCGCCCCAGCCTCCGATCGCCTGTTGCAGGTGGTCCCTGGGGGGCATGAGGAGCCTTGTGGCTTTCGCTGGAGTGAGCTCGGTCCCAGCAGGCATGCTTCAGCTGCAGGTGGGGCCTTGCACAGACCACGTTGCTGCCCTGGTGCTGAGCCCAAGTCCACGGTGGACCCAGTGTCCTGCCGGCCTCAGAACCTCCTGGGAGATCGTAGGAGGAGAAGGGAGAGGACTTGCATCCAGGGTGAGCGGACGGTGGCTGGGCAGCCTCGGGGCTGGCCTGATGTGTGAGGATGGTCACCACGAAGGGGCAGCCAGTCTGTAACCACCGACCCCACACCGGGCTCCAGCCCCGCCGCCTTCCCACCAGGCTCACGGTCACCCTTTCTGTTTCTGTTCTTCTGGCCA